AGTGAGGAAGAACTGTTCCCATTGTGGTCAGCTCGGCCATCAACAAGTACCACAAGAAACAGGATGCTGAAGCAAGAGGCCGCGCTGATGCTTGGATTGCTTGTCGCACACGATGATCTTCGCCTCATCCCTGACGAGGGAGGGAAGTGCCGCTGCAGCAGCCTGGGAAGCCGTCCAGGGGGGCAGTTATCTGGGTGAGCGCATCCCTGGGAACGCTTGCTGCCTGTGCCCGCTCCTCCTCCCCTGCTGCCGCCACACAGGATTGCGCAGATGTTCCTCCCAGAGAAGGCAGCTGCAGCTCTCAGCCTCCCGGTTTCCATCTCCCCGGTGGTCTGGCTCCACCCGGCTGTGATGGAGCTGCTGATCCTTCCTCCCTTCCCCAGCCCGTCCTTTCTCAAGGACTGAGCAGTAGTAGTCGGAGGAAGAGGAATTATTCAATGCCTTTTTCCCCCTTTCCTCTTGTCTCCTGGCTGTGTAGCTGTACCCTTCCCTTTTTTCCATAGTGTTTCTGATCCCTGTTTCTTAAACAGCATGTAAACAACCAAGAGAAAACTCGAGTGTGTAGATAATCCATATTTACAGTTGGATATGGTCTTATAGTTTACACAGCAGCCTGAGATGTAAATAAGGGTTGGGGCTTTTCTCCTTACTTAAGGAAAATGGCCTCTTAGAATTTAAAGTGAAGGAAGGATTTGCACTGGTTTTTATTCTCCTGCTTTTGTTACGATCTTTTTTTTTCCTTGCAAGGAGGTTTTGATCTCCACTCCCCATGCGAGGATGGTGTAGCTGTGTGCATGCATGCACATTGGCTCAAAAACGCATTTCATCTGTTTACAAGTTTCAGTTTAAGGGCAAAACCGTAAGGCAAGAAAATGCGTCATCTCAGGACTGTTGTGACCCTAGGCTATGTCCACACCGCACTTGGGAAATGCGATGACTGCATGCCTAGGCCTACCCAAAGTCGTTTTTATACAGCTCGCTCAGATACACCAGTGTCTGAAGTGAACTGAAGAAAAATCAAGTTACTTGCAGAACTTTGCTGGGTTTGGAGTCTTACCGGCAGCAGTCCTCGCAGGGGTTTTTTCCCATCGTGGTTTTTTCCCCAACATGTTTTTTCCCATCCCTCCCGGAGCATAAGTTTTATGTCAGACCTATTGACATCTTCTCAGGGTTGCAGAAATTCACCAAGATGTGAGACACCAGTAGCTTTGCAGCACTAGAGACAAAAAAAGCCATTATTACGGGTTGTGCTGCTTCCCATCCATAAAGCACGCTGGGCTGAAGAGCACGAAGCGATCCGCGGCTGAACAGTGGGCACAAAGTTGTATTTACCCTGTGGGCTTGCATTTGGCAGCACAGCCTTAATACGGGAATAGTCAGTGCAACATGACTAGCAATGCATAGGGACGATTTGAATCACTGGCTGTTGGGAGAAATTTTGTATGGAGGTATTTCTAACTGTGTATATACATGGAAATTACAGAATGCTCTGTCATTTGCCGCCACAAATTGCAGTTTCATTGAAACTGAATTTCATTTCAATGTTATTGAAATTTCTTTTGAAAATCTGTCCCTTTTGGGAGACTGAGTGATAATCTGCATTCAGATATCCACACAGAAATTAGAAATACCCTGCACTTCTATCGGATTATACCCTCCGCTTGTACACCAGATATATGTGAGTTCTGTTCTCTTTTAGACAGCTTATTATTTGTAATTAGCTAATGTCTTCTGCATATTTTATTTTTTTTGCTACAAATAATAATGAATGGCAATGACAACGGTGTTTCAGAAAGATTACCTTCTGAAAAGTATATGCGATTCATTTACAGGGAATCTTGTTTTTCCAGGCCGACACAACTCCGGGGTTACCAGTACAAATGCTTCGAACAAACCCATGCTTGTGATCTTGTCATTATATCTGGGATTCAAACCAGCTTCCTTACAGGAGAAATCACACAGATATTTCTGTGTCTTTTAATTTCCGAGGTGAGCTGGGAATTTCAACCTTGGAGGCACTTAAAAAAATAAGCTATCTAGCATATGTTCTCCTTGTGCACCTTGCAGCCTGGGGGCACGACCATCACCGTGGCCTCGCTGCCCCAGTCAGTGCCCAGGAGAGGAAGGCGTTGTGCAGGTGCCTGCAAAGTGGCTTTCTTGCTCTGCTGACATCTCAGGCTGGCAAATTTCCATCCCAGCAAGAGGATAAGATAAGCCTAAAATGTATTTTCTGTAAGGGATGGAAAAATGCTTGCTCCTAAAGACATTATGGACTGTGAAAACTGCTGCTAAGCAGTACAACATGAGCGCCAAACCCCGGAGCCCGAGCACTGAGTGCAGCTCTGCGAATAAAGGATTTTTCTAGTCTCTAGCTGAACTGAAAAATGGTCGTGAAGTAGTTGGGTGGAACTGCTTCCTTCCCCCCCCAAAAAAAAAGAATAATAGTATTAAAATTGGATGGGACTACACTATTTTTAGAGAGTTCTTATCTTAAAACACAGAGGTCCATAAGCAGGTTTTCTATGAACTTGTATCCTGTGATTCAAGCAGCGTTTGAAGCTTCATCTACAGCTGGCACTCTGCTCTGTATGCTCTGGTATCTGATGAGGGCTGAGTTCATGTTGAAACCTTTCTTTTAGTTGCAGAATTTAAAGATTTTTTCTTTTCTCTACTCAGCTGCCTGTTTTCAAGATTACAAAAAAAATTGTAGCAATTTAGTTATCTTTGAGACCTCTCTCAAATTCAGTTGAAAGCAGGCAATGAGTTCAAATGTTATTAGGAGGGAAGGTATACAGACACTCACGCAGCTGCATCTACATCCATGTAGATACAGAAAGACAAATCAAGCCAGCTTTGTTTCCACATGGAGAAGGGTTATAACTATATTTTGGTAAGTATTAAAAATACATCACTTTTTGTACAGAAAAGCAAGAAAGCAAACAAAGTATTTTCTTTAAAATCATTGACATCAATATTTAAACCGGTTCCCTTTTTTCCTTAGCACTTTAACGAGTTCCTTTCAAAATCATCAATTGCTTCAGTCAGACTAAACATACATTTTCTGTTTGCAAATATTTTTCTGGAAAATTGCACTCAGCAAAGGGGAAGAATGAGTTCACTCCTTGTTCTCCTGAGATACATGGCAGGACTCTTAATTCATCTAAGAAACTTGGGCTGTTGAAGCCAACTGCCAATACTATCAGGGCTGTGCCCTTACACATGAAGTCAGTGGACCAAGGGTTCCCAGCCACGTAACGCCTCTGGAAAATATGTTCGTTGTCTTCAAAATGGAGATAATGCCACTCATTGTTTTACAGTCAAAGTCGTTATTTACCTTTCTGTTCCCAACTGCTGGTTGCTTTTGTTTATTGCTTGTTGCTTTTTGCCTCTTTGTTTGTTTGCGGAACTGTTGCTCAGAGGCAAGGACTGAGGAAGGTGGAGGATGCTTGAGGAATAGTTCAGTCCCCGAGAGGCTTGCAATCTAGACTGCTAGGTAAAGTGAATAGCAGCATGAGAAATAACGGTGTCTACAGCCTCCTCTTACCGTTCCGCTTACATTGCAGCTTTGGGCACATGGTCACGGCTGTGTTCCTCACATTTCACGGGGGACTATTGCATTTCTCCCTTCTCTTTCTCCATGCCGTGTTTCAGGGGGCAAATGAAGAGTGAACACGGCTAGCTCAAAAGGGTGGAAAGGATGCTGAGTGCAGTGAGTAAGCAATGCAAAGCAGGGTGGCAAAGACGACTGCGTGAGAATATTCAGAATTTAACTCTTAATTTTATGCACGGTTCAGATGCCTATCGATTTCTTCTTTCTAGAAGGAAAACAGCACCTTGCTGTGAGTCTTGAGCAGCATTAGTTAGTACGGATGTAAGTTGAAATTTTGAATGGTTATACCCAACAGTTACTTTCAATTCAGTGGGTAAATTCGGTGGCTAAAACGGTATTTGTGCGTTTGCTGTATCAGTCATTTGCACTCAGCTTCAGGTCGGAGGGCTCTATTCTGTCTCCCTTTAAGAGAACAGCAATTCCCACTGAATTTCCCGATGCCTGGGGCAAAGAGATCACCCCTTTCAGCTGCGCTTACCAGAGTTGCTCATGTCTTCAGCAAGAGCTCTGGCTGTTCAAGGTGATGTGTTCGGCAGTAAAGTTAGCCAAGCCCTGTGTGCGTCAACTGGCGCAGCCCCGCTCGCAACCGTGACGTTGCGTGTGGTTAGGGCAGGCGAGGAGCTCTGCTTTTAATTGTGCAGGATGGAGATAAAGCTGTGAAAAAGTGAAATTAAACAGCCCTCCCCTTCAAAACCATTAGGACGATAGAGCAGGCCCTGGCCCTTTCTGTAATGAGGGCCGAGATGTTTGCACAGCCCTCGGCTCCCAGCGAGCTGCTTTAATTAAACCTAGCCCACGCATGAACCCGATGCTGAATTTGGGTCGCCTGGAGGACGCGCTACCTCACCCAGTCATCGCGGGGGGAAGGCGGGCAGGAGAAGAAACAC